AAGTGGCTTGGCCTTATGAGTGTTAAAGAATATCAGCAAAAATTATTTAAAGCTAACCTGTCATATTTTTTAACTATCCATCCACTTGTCTCACCATTTCCAAAATATGTACATTCCCTTTCTTATTTGGGTATAAGCATGGAAGGTTTATTTATTTTTATGTGAGATGGTTGAGTAGGTCAGTTTCATTGAGGAGTCAATAGATTAGAGTTGCCACAGGTAACTGCCTTCTTTTCTAATGCTTTATTGAGTTGTAGATGTGGAGGCAAATTTTGCTATTGAATGGCAAACTTGATGAACAATGTCAACTCACTAAAGACTAAGGTGTGTAACATACTGAGTCAGAGTCTTTAATCCTTTAGCCCCAGGGCAACCATCCGGCTCAAAGATTGCTCTTAACCTGTTTAGGAAAGGGAATGTCAGTATTTCACTCAAAAAAAGACTCCTTTTGTTACAGAAATGATCCTGTTGAAAGGCACCATGGACTGCCAAACCACAATGGTTTTAATATTCTGGAAGACAATCCAGCAGCAGCCAAGCCCAGTCCAGCAGCAGGGACCAAGCCCTGGCCCATATCATGTCACGTATATAACAACAACAAAAAATTAGCACCGTATCTTAGAAAATGCATTAATTTGGCTATAGATCATATAGCCCTGAGACTGGCTGAAAATATTTATTTATTTTATAGTCAACCACTGCTGGAAGGCCACTTTGAAACAACACAGATTTTGATTAAAAAATCATATTGCTTTTCCTTTTTTCCCCAGGAGATAAACATATATAATTATGAGAATACGTATCTTTTTAATACATGAGAAAATGTACAACAAATTGTAATTTGCAGAAACAGAAAAACAAAGATGAAATAATATTTAATTTATGAAAAGAAAATTCACTTTTTTTTTTATAATAACACTAATTAGCCAGGGTACTCCAGTTAACATGAAAACAAATACACTATATATGATAAGATACAGAGAACCCATGACAGGCTTGGTAAGAGTAATATACCATAAAATGTGACCATAAAACATAAGCATGTAGTAAACTACATAGCCATATCAACAAGAGAGTGTCCCCTAACCAGTGGACTTGCGATTCAAGAAGAGTCTTAGTGATTGTTATCGCATCAAACTACACTTACATCAGCTGTAGAATACTCTCAGTGAAGAAGCATGACGATAACATTCCTTTGGTTAGTTAACCAGGTGCTGATCCAGAACAAAGGACAAAAGGTACAATGTTGGAGATGCCCTAGCTCCAAAATATATTGGCATCTTTAGAAAATGTTATTTTACAACAGGAATTGTCCCCACAAGGGTGACCCATTGATTGTCCCCGTTAAAGATGCTTCTAAAAGAAAAACAACTTGTCGAAGGGTCCTTAACTTTGATCACATTAATTATGTGTGGCTCATCAGGATATAAGCTACAGGGTATGTCTGGCAGTGCATAATGCTGTCCCAGGGACTGAACCTGGAGCCAGTGGTGCTTTAATTCTTCTATAAGCACCACTGATTTGTATGACTTTGGCTATCTTGTGAGAATGTAGAAAGGTAAGTAACATCCATATAAGTGTGGAAATTCTTTAGAAGTAATTGATTCAGCAATACCTTATATTTGTATATTTATCTTCCTGCTTCTGTCATCAAGGTAATCAACTCTCAGCGTTAACGTGTATAGTTCTTCTTTCACGATATCAAGGTTAGCCAAGATTAATTTACAGATATCCCTTGAGCAGTTTTGAATATATACTCTGTGAGCAGGAATATTATGTTCCTCTTTATCAGTCCTTATTGAAGAGGTGTTAAAGGCCAGGCCGGGCTCAGAAATATTGCCTTCCAAGGAAAAGAAGTGAGATTCAGGCTTGATCCAAGTGTCATCTTAGGTTGAGGCCTCCATGAAAAAAATACCTTTTTTATTTTGTTGACTATCCTCTGGAATGACTCGAGACTTGCAGGGTTGTCTCCAAATCATATACCAGGTAACTGGAAAAGAAATGTGGATGAAAGCAAACAGCAAACAGGGTCATGAGTCAGTATTTTGAGTGAAAGGAAAGAGAAGAGCTTTGATGCTTTGATCGCTAGTCATTTTGCCCCCTAGTTATATTTTTATTGTGTAGGTCATTCATTCTATTGGATAATTTAATGTAGCACAATTGAATTGTGATATGTTTCATAAACTTATTTCAACTTTTAAATTTATTTAAATTGTAGAAATTACACATAGAATGTGTGTTGGTCAGATTTCCAGAAGTAGCATTCCATATCTAAATGAACAGAAAGGTTATTTGTGAGGAACATGCCTTAAAAGTGTGTGAGCCATTAATTGAGTATATAGGTGTCCTATGCTTGACTGTGCAGTTTTGTCTTTTTTTATGACTTTTTTACAGGATGATTCATTAAGTCTGACTTATCAGAAAATCAAAGCAAATTCACAGTAATTTAAAATTTTAGGCTTAAACTGCCTAATTGAAAATATAGCTTTCTTTGAAAAATTTCCCAATTCTGACATTTTTACTTAATGTGATATTCATTTTCAATTTATTTTGAATGCCCAGCAATTCACAATTCAGGAAATAAATCTAATTATTAATGTCTCCTTGTCTTCCACTATTTTTTTTAATACATCTGTAGATGACCAAATGTATATTTTATGTGGCAATGGTGTTGTGTCAGTTTGTATGTATAGCATAATTATTGCCATAAAGCAACACATTGGACACTGCAGAATGAAGCATTCACCCATGGCTGCTGCATTTGGGCATTTTGGTTGAAGTTTAGCATGCTTATCAGGTATGTATTGTAATATGTATATTATTTGATGGATTTACTATTCACTTTATTTTATGCCCACCTTAATCTGACCTTGTTGACAACACTTTTTAAGAATTACATTTTCATATTAAGAAGACAAAGTGGTCATATATTTTCATTTTAAATAGTAAATGTGTAATTTAATGTGTAATTTAATAATGTGAACAATTATTTAATCTCATCGCGGAGTTTACTTATTTTCCATAAAAATCAGGCTATTTGACAGGCTCTTTGATTTAACGTTCTGTGAACAATAGCTGAAAAAACATTATGTTCTGTCATGACCCGGTTATTTCTACACTGCTTTTAGTGTTATATAGAATATGGCTCAGTGCATTTATGGATAAGCTCTTATTGAATAAAAAGAATTTCTCTTAGTAGCTTGTGATACCAGGTACCTATGTCATTATATACTTGCCTCTATGACACCTTTAAAAACACTTCTAGTTGTAACAATTCAGATTTCATTGTGTTGTAATATTACTTAATATGCATGTATATATGTATATGTGGTAGGAAAATAGTAATTTCAAGCAAAACGCCACATTCCAGGAGCACCCAGGGCATTTTTCTGGCAAGCATGGCCACATTCCTGGGGTTTGTTGTCCCTTATTTGCAAGCAAGGGACACTTTCCTTGAGTGGTTCCTAGGAGGTTATTGGCACACAAGGGGAAACATTCTGCTGTGCAGTGGCCCCTATCTGACAGTGGCGGATCCAGGGAGGGGCAACGGGGCAATTTCCCCCCTCTTCTATCCCCTGATAAAATAGTGTCCATGTGCTCCCTCTCCATTGCCCTCCTCTGCCAGTCCATGCAGGGCTGGCACTATGCAAGCGCCTGCCCTGCTGTGTGCCTTCACAGGAGGGGAGATCAATGATCTTCCTCGCCAGCCTGCTGGCACTTTGTGTTGGGCAGCCGGCAGGGGAGGGAGGAAGAGAGGAGACCCAAGAGCTCTAATCTGCAGCTCCACCGGGTCCCCTCTCGCAAGCACGGATTGTTGCTGCGGTTACAAAACTGCAGTCTAGCATTCACTCTAACCACTAGGACCACCAGGGCTTCACAATCGATATCCCCCCTCCCTGGGCAAAGGTAAGAAGGGAGAGGGATATAAACCATATATATATATTTTTTTTTGATAACTTATTTGTTTTAATCAGCCCCCTCCCTAACACACAATACCTCCCTACACATTCACATACTGCCCCCCACACACACACTGCCCCCCCACACAAACACTACCCCCCATTCACACACTGCCCTACCATTTACACCAGGCCTGTCCAACCTGCGGCCCCCCAGATGTTGCTGAACTACAACTCCCACGAGTCTTTCAATGAAACAGAAAGCCAGGGAATTATGGGAGTTATGGGAGTTGTATAGAAGTTCAGCAACATCTAGGGGGGGCCGCAGGTTGGACAGCCCTGATTTACACACTGCCCACTGCACACACACTGCCCATCATTCACACACTGTCCCCCATACACATACTTACCTCACATTTATACACTGCCCCCCTTACACACACTGCCCCACACACACACACTACCCTCCCATTCACACACTGCCCCTCACACACAATGCTCCCCCATACACACACTACCCCTCCCATTCACACACTACCCCCCATGCACAAACTGGCCCCTGCACACACTGCCTTCACTCCACAGTATGGGGGTGTGTATGTATTGCGATACATACACACCCCCATAGGGTGTGTATGTATTGCGATACATACACACCCCCATACACACACTGCTCCAAACACAACACTGCACCCCTCACATATACACACACTGTACCACATACACAAACTGCACCCATGACACACAGGGCCGGTGCAAGGAATTTTGCCGCCCTAGGCAAAAGTAAAGTTTGCCACCCCCCCCATGTGACATCACAATGCTCCACCCATATGATCTGCCATGTTAACTAACGCCAGTGCTGCAGTGCCGCCGTGTTTACATTATAAGGCATGCAGGGACAGGCTATAGACACCAGAACAACTACATTAAGCTGCAGTGGTTCTGGGGACTATAGTGTCCCTTTAATGTGAGGTAAATTAGAGATTAGTGCCACGAATAATATACTAGATTGCCTACTTACAACGAGATGAGGATGATGATGGGCTCTAGCTGCAGTCTGGCTCCACTGGTCTGGTGTAGAACAGGCTCTCTGGAGGCTGTTTGTAACTGTGGTCACAAAAATCAATGTTCTGGGAGAACGGGAAGCAGCTCCATTTTTTGGGGGCCCTTTACACAGCTCAAGGTCTGGGTCCCAGGGTCCACCTTCATGTTCCACCAATGAGTTTGTTCACAGGGGGTGGAGTGTGTAGGGAATGTCCTGATATGTGTGTAAGGAATGCATTGTGTGAATCTGTGTTTGTATGTGTAAGGGCTGCAAGGTGTGTTTCTGTGTATGTACAGGATGCAGTGTGTGCGTGTGTAAGGGGTGCATTGAGTGTGTGTAAGGAATGCATTGTGTGTTTCTGTGTGTGTAAGGGATGCATTGTGTGTAAGGGTTGCATTGTTTGTGTGTGTGTGTGTGTGTCTGTGTCTGTGTGTGTCTGTGTGTGCAATGCATTGTGTGTTTTTCTGTGTGTAAGGGGTGCATTGCATGTGTGTGTGATGGATGTCACTCTCTTCTCCCCCCTCTCCCTCCCTTGTCACTCTCTTCTCCCCCCTCTCCCTTGTCACTCTCTTCTCCCCTCCCCCTTCCCACTCTCATTGCCCCTCCCTCCCCTGTCACTCTCACCCCATCAATTTCTTCTCCCCCCACCAATTTCTTCTTCTCCCCCCTGTCAATTTCTTCTTCTCCCCCTCCCTTACCAATTTCTTCTTCTCCCCCTCCCCTCCCAATTTCTTCTTCCCTCCCCATTTCTTCTACCCCCTCCCCTGTCAATTTTTCTTTGCTTCCTCCCCTTTTTTTTGTTTTTCCCCTCCCTTCCAATTTCTTCTCTTTTTCTTTCCCTCTCCTTTTTTTTTTTTTTTCTGCAATTTTTTTTCTCCCACCTCCATTTCTTTTCCCTCCTCTACTTTATTTTTCTTTTTTTCTTCTCCCCCCTCCCCATTTCTTCTCCCCCCTCCCCTACCAATTTCTTCCCTCCCTCCCCTTTTTCTCCCCCCTCCCCTACAATTTCTTCCCCCTCCCTCCCAGTTTCTTTCCCCTCCCCTGACAGTTTCTTCTTCTCCCCTGCCAATTTTTCTCCCCCCTCCAGAATTCTTTTTCTCCCCTCCCTCTTCCCCCCTCTCCTGACAATTTCTTTCCACCCCCCCTCCCTCCCTACCTCAGTTGTAGCGTGGCCGAGCCCAGTGTAATCCGCGGGTACAGGTAGCTTTTGTTTCCTGTACCCGGCCGAACTAACAGCACATGCATGCTTAAACTCTGTGTGCACTTCCTGTTAGTCCGGCCGGGTACAGGAGACAGATGCTCCCTGTACCCGCGGACCATCATGCTGCAGGGCTCGGCCACGCTACAGAGAGGGAGTGACAGGAGGGAACGCTGAGCGCTAAGCACCTCCCTCCTGTCAGCCTCTCTCCTCAGGCTGCGCCCGGGCGGTGCGGTCCGCCCTCATGGACGCACCGCCCGGGCAAAGCTGCAGCCGCCTGAGGCTCTCTACAGAGCGCTCAGGCGGCTGCAGCATGAGGGGCCGGCGCTCCTGGCCGCGCCCCTTCCCAAGGGGCGCCCTAGGCGGCTGCCTAGTCTGCCTAACAGGTAGCGCCGGCCATGATGACACACACACACTGCCCCCATACACACTACCTCCCACACACACACTGCACCCCTCACACACACTACCTCCCATATACACACACTGCAAGCCTCACACACTGTCTCCCATACACACACACTGTCTCTGATACACACACTGCTCCTGTCACACACAAACACTACCCCTCACACACACTACACCCCTCATACACACACACTGCCTCCCATACACACACTGCCCCCACTGCAACCCCAAACATACACTGCCCCAATACAAGCACTGCGCCAAACACAACACTGCACCCCTCACACACACACACACACATAGAAACATAGAATGTGACGGCAGATAAGAACCATTCAGCCCATCTAGTTTGTTATATTTTCATTAGTCCCTGGCCTTATCTTATAGTTAGGATAGCCTTATGTCTATCCCACGCATGCTTAAACTCATTAACTGTGTTAACCTCTACCACTTCAGATGAAAGGCTATCCCATGCATCCACTACCCTCTCAGTAAAGTAATACATTCGGATATTATTTTTAAACCTTTGCCCCTCTAATATAAGACTATGTCCTCTTGTTGTGGTAGTTTTTCTTCTTTTAAATATAGCCTCCTCCTGTGTTGCTCCCCTTTATGTATTTAAATGTTTCTATCATAGCCCCCCTGTCTCGTCTTTCCTCCAAGCTATACATGTTAAATTCCTTTAACCTTTTCTTGTAAGTTGTATCCTACAATCCATGAACCAGTTTAGTAGCCCTTCTCTGAACTCTCTCTAAAGTATCTCATCCTTCTGGAGATACGGTCTCCAGTACTGCGTACAATACTCCAGGTGAGGTCTCACCAATGTTCCGTACAATGGCATGAGCCCTCTTTCTACTGCTAACACCTCTCCCTATACAACCAAACATTCTGCTAGCATTTCCTGCTGCTCTATTACATTGTCTGCCTACCTTTAAGTCACCAGAAATAATCACTCCTAAATCCCTTTCCTCAGATGTTGAGGTTAGGACTCTCTCAAATATTCTGTACTCTGCCCTTGGGTTTTTACGTCCAAGATGCATTATCTTGCACTTATCCACATTAAATGTCAGTTGCCACAACTCTGACCATTTTTATAGTTTACCTAAATCATTTGCCATTTGGGTTAACCCTCCTGGAACATCAACCCTGTTACATATCTTAGTATCATCAGCAAAAATACATACCTTACCATCATACCTTCTGCAATATCACTAATAAAAACATTAAAGAGAATGGGTCCAAGTACAGATCCCTGAGGTACCCCACTGGTGACAAGCCCATGCTTCAAATATACTCCACACTGCCACCCATACACACACACTGCCCCCATAGACACACACTGCGCCCATACACACACACTGCACCCCTCACACACACGCTGTACCCTATACACAAACTGCACCCCTCACACACACACACACTGCCTCCCATACAAACCCCATACACACAATTGCACCCCTTACACACACACACTTCACCCCTCACACACTCACTTCAAGCCTCACACACATTGCACCCCCCCCACCCACACACACACACACACACACACTATACTGCCCATATCCCCTACAACAGCACTATCCTGGCAGACCCCAGGTAAGTTGTCAAACTGTTCTTAAACGGTTTGACTACTTAGTCTAGGAGGGCGCCATGGCATTCCTGGCACCATAACCACTACAGAGAGCTGTAGTGGTTATTGTACCTGGATTGTTTCTTTAAATAATCTACCAGTACCACTCCCGAGAATAAGTTCTGGATCCACCCCTGCTATCTGAGGTTGCCTGAGTGGCTGTTGGTGAGAAAGCACCACTCTCCCTGGTTGCCTGGGCCCCTGTTTCTTGAAATTAGAAAAAAGTAAGAAATTTGCAAACCCATTTGCCTGACTATTGGTTAGGGAAAGCATTGGATTGGCTGAGACCATGGAGGCAAGGCCAGCAGTGGTGAGTCCAGTGCAGATATAAATAAAAGTAAAAGCTACCCTTTAGCACCTTACTGAATAGGGCCTGGGACCTAAATAGGTAGTCCAGCACTATAGTGTTAGGAATACATTCTTGTATTTCTAACACTATAGAATTCCTTTAAAGCTAAAATAACTAGGCAAAGTTTTTTTTGCCTGAAATTACTATTTGTTTAACATATACATAATTCATATATATATGAATGCAACCGTGGGCTGACAGAACTTGAGAGACGTTGAATGGCCACACCAAGTGGTTTTTAGTTAGCGTGTGTGTATATATATATATATAAAGGGCTCTCACAAAACATATTATTGATTTGTTTTGCAAGAAATTGTTTCTCATTTGCAAGAAAGTTTCCTGTAACTAGATGAAGCAAGCTTCTATACCTTTACATTTTGACTGTTGTCAATCTATCTAAGGCCCCAAAGGCAAAAAATACCTCCCACTGCTTTTGCACCAAAAACACCCATTTCCTGTTTCTTGTTCTGCACAGTTTTGACACTTATCGCCCATCTCTTAATCAATAGTTTTGACTTATCTCATTTAAATGTAAAGCATTATTTGTGTTCGTAATGAACACTTCTTATTTTACTCAATTAACATATTAGATTGCTATATTTATTTTTTCCCAAGAGAAAGAGCCTTTTGTTAGTTTGTGTATTTAAACACAAGCCTCACATACTTCATTGTGGAAGGCTAAAACATAAGCCATATATCACCTATTTATTTAAGGAGTTTCTAGGTCAATGTGACTCTGAGTTGTTAGCATATTAGGAAATAGCATAGCATTTTTCTATAGTGAAGTTTAACGAGTTAGTTATGGTAGATAAATAAACTGCTGCATTGTGTGTGATATCCACATAATGACAGATGTTGAACAAGGGCTGTCATGCAATTTTAGATTAAGTTAAATATTCCATTATGGACAGCAGATACACAGAGGGAGGTTTTATATACAATGCTGATTACTGATCAAAAGCTAAAGAGTCTACATATCAATCTTCAAAATTGCTTTGGATATGCAGTATGTATTGAAGAGTATTCTAACTATGAAAACCTTACAAATTAAACAGAGTCATATGGAGGCTCAGGTTTCACTGCCAGAAGGAGTATGGCCAGATTAGGTGGGCTCAGCGATCTTTTATCTGTCAGCAATTTCTATGTTTTTGTGTTTCAAAGGGAGATATTTTGTATTTTAAGTAATTTCCCATGTGACATTTACTTCAAAAGCCATTTGAATACTATCATTTGCAATCTTCTACTATTGCTTTGACAATGTCACCAGTATAAAGCTGCACGGAGAACACATTTTGGCTCTGTGGGTGTTTGGCTCAGGTAGTAGAAAAAAAGTTACAATTTCTTTTAAATTTATAATTTAATCTATACTGTGAAACGAATAACTGCAAAAGGATACATGAAAAGAACAAGGTTAGAACATTTGGACCCTAAACATAAGGCTGTTGAAATGGTTTTATGAAAAAGTTATTTGTCACCTAAAATAATAGCACAGGAAATATGGAAAATTAAAAAAAATTATCTGAATACGTTTTTGTTTTTATTTTTATTTTCTGTGACAGTATATTAGGGAAAACAGACATGTGGACAACCGTATTAAGTCTTGAGAAAGACAGTGCTTTCTGTCCTACACCTGCAAAACAGACATATAGACATATTGAGTGTAGACCCTCTATATATAACAAGTGTTGCTCTTATATATTTTTTATTGTTATTAATATTATTATTTTCTGTAGTGCTTTACAATTATTGAATGGGGATATTTGACAAATAACTGACGTACAGGATAACAAGAGACAAGAGGTGTAGAAGGTTCAAAGGAGCTTACAATGT